TTTTTTGGCAATTTTTCTGTCCATAACTGAGTGAATGGGTAAACATTTTTTTTTAAATATTGCTACTGACAAGAATCTGAGCGGGGGACATTTGTGTTTTACCAACACGTTCTTGTTTATATTTTCATTAGATCAGGAACCAAAAACATGTTTGTCATAGATTGAATGAAACATTAGTTGTCTATCTCATGAAATGTGTTTTTGTATAGAAGTTTTGTTCGAGTGATCGAACAAAACGTATTATACAGTTATTCTTATACAAATTTTCAAATTTCTTTAAAAAGGATCCTTACACACTTATAAGTTCATTTTAAGTATATAAAAATCAATACATGTGAAAGTGTTTTTCCCTCCCACGGAATTTTTATCCCATTTTATGAAAATGGCGTTTTAATCCAATTAGAGAAACGTAAAACCCATGAGGAGAATGGAAAAATCAATCGAATGCCACACTTGGAATGCTGCTTGCCCAGCGCTCAATCTTGTACTGTCTATGTAAAAACGACCAATTATCGTCTATTTTCATCCCAATTACTGTTTGACTTAACTTTTTGTACTGATTTTTTTTTTAAATTGTATTTGAATTTGCGAAAATTCCGGATTTGCAAACTTATTCCGGAGGCTGTAGTAAATTGATTATGAATATTAATAAATACATTTAATGCGCATTTAAATGTTGAAACATGCTAGCAAAAATATGCATTTAAAAGATTTACACCATAATTTATACAATTTATTTGCCAAACTATTTTTCATCTTCAATATTATTTTTAACCTTCTAGACCGGAACGTTACCGTGCGACTTTTGACAAAGACGAAACAAAACGTTGGCAGATAGATGTGCCCTATGAAATAAGCGACGGTATTGGTAAGTTTTCTACGCATTCTGGTCCGACTTATAATAAACAAAATAAATATAATTCAAGAATATTTGTTTTTATTCAATACAAAGAATGTATCCGCATTTAAACTTTCTGATACCACTTATTATAAATCATTATTTCCTAGAGTTAATATTTAGTTTGCAGTGTCCATAGTTTATAAATAATATGCGATATGTAAAAATACAAAAATATGTTTGGTCAAACATTATGAAAAGTCTTGGTTTTTTAAAAATAATTCATATTACGAAAAAAACAACAATTTAAGTGCACATGCGTATGCGTTTTTTTTACATTTTCCCCTGACGATTGCATATAATCTTCACCTTTTACATGATTAACCGTTAGATAAACAAACATATAAAACTATGAAAATAAATCATACAATATATTCGAAATCTCAAACATATCAATGCAAAATGCTACTTTTACTGTCTGTCTGTAGACGACATTTCACATTGCGTAATCAATCTTCTGCTTTTATTAACTGTTTGTCACTATAGCATATAGGCATATATGTACGTAAATATTAGAACCTTTGTTTCGAAGTAACATTTGGGCATACAAACTATAGTACACACTAAGTGAATCTTATAATTTGAACATATACAAGTACCTCATTACTTTTTTGGCTGTTGAACATTGGTTTTTAGCTTTCAACCAAAATTTAGACTGAAATGGCAGTGGGAGACCTACTTTTGTTGTTGCCCTGGCTGTCAAACCATTTTTTTTTAATGTTATGCCATATTTGATGAGAACATAAAACGGTAACATATTTTTTGCAATTGTCCCTGATCAAGGCATACATTTACTTATGGAAAGCATTGACTGCATTATAATAATAAATCTAAATGTTGTTATGTCCAAATAACAATATATTGAGTCACCCTTTCCCTTTCCTTAAACAATATGCACTCATGGATATATTATGTGGACCATCCTGATCTATAGTCAACTGAAAAATATATGATGTCAGTGTGTCTTTGTATGTATATATTATACGATGTGCTTTTTTAATGTATTATGTGGAACCATCCTTATATAAGGTCAAATAACTATATTTTATGTCAATCTGTCCTTTTATGATGTCAATCTAACATTATATGATGTAAGTCTGCCATTATAAGATGTGAAGATATGAATATATTATGTGGAATCATCTTTATATTGAGTCAGCAATATATGATGTCAATGTTTTCTTATAATTATTATGTCACTCTTTCAATATACGATGTAATTTTTTCTTATTATATTATGCGAAACCATCCTTATACAGAGTCAAAATTCCCGTATATGTTATGAGGAACCAGCTTTATATCCTTTCGACGGCCATAGCGTAATAAAACGTACCGAAAAATCGACTTCTCAAAAGCCGGGCGCTATAGTCATAAGAAGGCTAGAACGTAATAAACCGGCATAAAATTTTAGCTTCCTGAAAGCCACTACTGTTTGTCGTAGGAAGGCCACCAAAATTTAGTTTTTAATGACTCAATTCTTGAAGTTTACCTTTCATTTATTTAATTCTGTTAAATGTTGTTCAAATAGAAACACCAAATATGTTAATTGTATAGTGCCCTTTATTGACAGATAAAGTAAATGTTTAGATATACAGTACACTTTTTAATTAATGTGGTAATCAAATCGATATCCAAATTAATTGAAGAAAATCTTCTAAATGGTATAGTATTTTAAAATGCATTTATTGATACATCAAACGGAGTTTCTGTAAGCAGTTCTCTTATTTGAAACAAAAATGTGTTGAACTTACAAAATTCACGTTGAAAAGCATAGTATCAATCACCCTTCCTGAGAAACATTGATTTTTATTGATTTTTAATAATTACGTTTTAAAACGATGTGGACGTTTTACTCAACATGGTATTCTAATGGCCGTGGTATGAAAGGACGCAAGCAAGGCGTGAACAACAAAATGGCTATATAGGTAAATAACGTAAAATTTACCGTTTTAAAACGTTCAGAACTTGTTTTAAATACATTATTCAGAAAACAAGGATTGTGAGTCTGTTTATTGCAATTGAACGTAATATTAACAGTGTTATACGGTATGGATTTGTTGTTTATCGTATGCAGTTGAACAACCATAGCGTAATATTTCGATTTTCATAAACACATTAATAAAATCAGAATGTACGAAAACGGGGTTTTTACGGGGTTTGCATGAAACAAAATTCAAGTTTTACGCTGATTTACGCAACGGTTTCTAGAAAGGTATATTTTTGATACGTTTAACTACGCTATGGACGTCTGTCGTAATATAAGACTGGCTTTCAGAAATGTAAAATTTCGATACGTTTTCTTACGCTTTGGCCGTCCTACGGGTATAGCTTGCATGAACAGTAAAAATAACTACTAGAGGCCTATAGGAAATAAGCATTACGAAAAAAGTGAGGGGTAATAATATATTATGTCAATCTGTCTATATATGATGTCAGTCTTTCATCATATGATGTGCAATTACGAATATATTATGGCGAACCATTCTTATATAAAGTCAAAACAACACTATATAATGTATAATCGTCTTTATATAGAATCAACTTAATAATTGTAAAATTAAAGACATCCAAAGTTGTTCTAAAATCTGGCACCATTTTTAAGCTGTATATGTTGTATTTCTTCATCATGGAAATTCACTTTGTTCGTAGTTTGTGTATTTATATGATTTTATTTTCAATTCAGTTGATCTACATTTTTTTAATTCAGGTGATCTACAGGAACTTGAGATTCGACGGTCAATTTCTATTTGGGAGCAGTACTCATGCCTTAATTTCTATGGTAACAAGCAGGTGTACAACAGATTAGTGTTTCAGCTTGGAGAAGATAACTTGTACATATAAATTTTAATTTGCAATTAATATGTATGGCCAAGTTTTACGTTGTCATTTTTGAATGACTACTTGTACTTTGGGTCAGATATTTTCTTAGCCGTTGCACATATTAATGATTAAACTTTTTCAATACAAGGAACTACTTGTTCGCTCGCTTCTCGTGGGCAGTTTTACATGATTTTTTCTTTTGTTGCTATGAATCATTTGATCCTATAAACGGGAGTTGCAATTTATACATTATTTCATAAAACTTTTCCTGCATTTTAATGAGTCTTAAGATTAGTACAACCCTAACATATGCCTTTAAAGGAGTATGTTTGTTTCACTAATACAAAACATTATTTTAATTTAAAGGGAAACACGGGCAAAATTGTCATTTCTTTTCTTTTTTGAATTTTTCATTTATTTTTCTGTAAATATTTTTAAAATGGATACACTAGGCAGTTTTCTCCTTATGAATAAAAAATGGTGGTTTCCTAACTTGACCCACTTGGGTTAAGATTTCAAAAAGGTTTTAACAGTGGCCTCTAGAAACGTTAAAGAATATGCCAAATGAATGACTTAGACTTGTTTCAATCAAACAACATTCACAATATTTTTATTGTAATTTCCTGGGTTTGTTCAAGTTGCATGACTTGTTTTAGAACAACTCGGCGATTCTGTCTAATGTTTGTTCACTATAAATAGATATATTTAAGCTTCAAACCAGAAATGTATACAGAAATTCATGCTGGAACTTTCAAAAATGTCATTTTACAGTGATTTGAGTACAAATGATCGTTTTAATATTTTTTGTTATTAATTTGCCTGAGTATCCTTTTAACATTTCAAAGTGAATATGAAAATAATATTTAAATCGTCATTATAATAAATGTATTTTCACTATCACTGGATGTAAAACTGCGATAAATTGATCTTCATTAGAATTCATTTTATGTCAACTGAATAAATATTTAAAATGTACATTTTTCAAATAGTTGTGGATCAGATGTTGGGATGAAACAAGGACCACAAATTATTTACCTTGGGAAAAACTGCTTTGAGGTATTTTGTTATTTTTTGTTTCTTTTGCATACTGTGATTGTGGCTTTTACTGACCTGTAAATGCGATAAACCTTTTCCGTAATATCAATTAATAATGCATTTTTATGTGTAATGTTAAAGAGGTATGTTTATCACAAATAACATTTTAAAAGGTCAAATATGTCATAAAATTTATAAAATGTTCGTGTCGAGAATACTTTGTCCAAAGACACATCGTCAAGCACTAATTCATGTTACGTCTCTTATTTTGCACATAAGGCAATGTGCCAAAAGCAAAAACTATTTGGGCTTATGCTATATTGTGTACTCGCCGGTCTTGATCCCATGTGACTTTGATATATTTCAAAAACAAATTAAACCCTTCGAAGAAATTCGTTACGGCGATTCAGAATGTGAGTTATCCCCCACCCCCGATTTAGACCGATACTCCCAATCCCACCGACCTCGCTTTTCATAAAAGGCGGTTTGATTTTTTGTAGAAATGAAAGTCAAAAATTCAAATAGTATTAACCAGTCCTTCAAATATATACCTATTCTATTAATCTCATTTTTTGAAGTTATAATGTTTTGGTAAAGCTGAAATACTAGGCAGGTTGAAACGATAAATATTTTTAATTAAAACGTAGCGTATAAGAAAATGAACACAGCTTACCATATTATTTTGAAGACAAATTGTTTTCCTTCACCGTCTGTCTTACATTCAGTCCGCGCGTCCGCTTCGCTCCATAAAATGGCCGTAAGAGCTTAAAAAACGAAAATACTATTATTTGGCTGTCACAGGTCAATCTACTGATGCGATTTTAATGAAACTTCTCCGGAGTGATCAGTACTAAACTAAGTAAAGCGTATCGCAGCTTTGATAAACCAATTGGCTGCCAGAGCTTCAAGAGACAAATCTTGTTCTGCTTTCACAGCTACAACTTCTGATGGGATTGCAATGAAACTTCACAGGAGTGATCAGTATCAACTGTAGTTGTGTATATCAAACAGGAGTGATCAGAACACTATAGTAGAAATACGCTACCTAGCTGGTCATATCGTTGGCATGTCCTGCAGCGCTGTACAAAACAGCGCTAGAGCTAAAACTAGAAATATTGTCCAGCAGAACTGCTGTCGTACTTTATTGAAAATTCACAGGCGTGATCTATTTCTAGTTGTGCATATAACCAGAACTGCACAAAATGGCAGGTAGAGCTATAAATAGAAAACAACTCTTGTCCGGCTTTCACATTCAAAACTAATTGCTTAATCAATATCATTCGTAGTTGTGCATATCACCGGCATGTTTCGCTTCGAAGCAAACACTGGCCACCAGAGATATAAAGAGAAAATCTTGTCCAGCTTTTCCAGGTCAAACTGCTGGTGATATCTCAACATTACTTTACAGTTGTGATCAGTACTATACCTTTTTGTGCATATCACTGGCATGTTCTACTTTGCTGCACAAAAAGGCCTCTAGAGCTATAAATAGAAAAATCATTTCCTGCTATCACAGGTCCAACTGCTTGTGGGAATTCGACATTTTTTCACAGGTGTGATCAGTACCACCATTAATTGTGCATTTCGCCGGCATGTTCTATTTCGCAGCAAAAATGACTGCCAGAGCTATAAATAGAATTAAACCTATCCCGTTTTTACAGGTTCAAGTGCTGGCGGGATTTCGACCAAACTTTACAGGAGTAATAAATATAATACCTTATTGTGCATATGGTCGGCACGTTCCGCTTCGCTGAAAAAAAATTCGTCGCCGTAGCTTTAAATAGGAAAACACTGTCTGGCTTTTTACAGGTAAAAGTAATTGCGGGATTTCGACCACACTTCAAAGAAGTGATCAGTCCCATACCTAGTGGTAGGAGACATAAGTGTTTTTGACTAAAAACCTCGCCAGTTAAGTTTCAAATCAAGATTCAAATGGGACAATAAAATAGAGAAAAAAAGAATCCTTAATTTCCTCTTTTGTAATATTTTACCGAGAAAATGAATCTTAGTATTTCAATTTGTATGTAAAATCTTAATATTTTTTAATGTTTAGTACTACCATAATATATAATGTGCTTACAAAATACATTCCTATAACAATTTATTTCAGCCGGAGATAATTGTTCATGAGATAGGACACGCACTTGGATTCTACCATGAACATAACCGTTGGGATAGAGATAATTTCATTAAGATACACTTTGAAAATATTAACCCTGGATATAATGAATCGTTTATTAAAAGGAAACCAGAGAATGCAGATTTCGATCATGATTATGATTATTTGAGTATTATGCACTACGGACAGTATGTAAGTGTTAACGTTTTATTGTAATTGAATAAGATATATAAAGTGCAGGAATCAAATGTTCATACGGCGTTTGATTTGTTTTTATGTTAATGTAAATAACTGTCGGTTAATAATGAAAACCGTTCTTGCATATCTGGCAGGTAGTTTACACTGATCAAAGAAAACGCTGTTTTACACCCCCTTTATAAGATTAAACCAAAAAATGAAAAATAATGTCTGTTTATGATCTGTAAATTGTTTTATTTTTTTATTTTTTTTAATATATATAAGAACATACATGGCTTATATGATGCTTATAAAATGTCAGGAGCTCAATATTTATCCTAATCAAACGATATTCTTCTATAACCATCTTTAGCATGCATGATAAATTTTTTTACGTAATTTTAAATGATAATCTTTGTCCGCTTATTAAATGTAATATAATCAGTTCAATTATATCTATTTCTAGATGATACAAAGTGTGATTGCTTTTCTAGTTCAATTATCACAATTATCATACAATCTGTTTTCAGTTTTTCTCAAAGAATGCATCAGCAAAACTTATCACAATAGAGACGATAAATCCTAACTTTCAATCTAGAATAGGAAAGGTCAAGCTTCCGAGCTTTCAAGATTATAAAACTTTGAATGATATGTATAAATGTAAAGGTCAGTATGTGTAGTTTTGACTGAATATAATGTAGTCTCTCCTGGCTTTACTGTACTATACTTTAAAATCTGTACCATACTTGAGGTTGAAGACTGTATAAAAACAAACACTGCTGTTGTAAAGGTTATAGGTGAGTGAGCAGAGTAAAGTAAATACATGTGGCTACTTGTACTTGCATATTATAAGGCAGTGTTTATCTAAGTCTGATCAAGCATTTGAGTTAATGTAAATACACCATAATTTGCAACTTTAGCAAATACTGTCGGGCTATTTTTAACTTATTGGCGGTTAGGAAAGTTGGGTATATATACGTGAGCCTCAAAGAGGGACCAATATCAGTGGTGGTAAATAGATAAATAAAAGGGGCTGCCCCAACTCCCCTGTATTGCTTAAAGTACCATCCTCACAAAGAGACTCTAATTTTCTTAAGTTCCAGTGGACAAGTGGTTCAAGTGCTATCTTGTCGCAGAGTGAGTTTTTTTCGAAGTTTTACAAGGTTTATATACTGAAACAAAAAAAATGAAAACAGTGAAAAATATCACAACGAGTAGCGGTCAGGCAATAGGTGGCCAAGAGTCACAAAAGCGACATCTGAAAATGTTAACATTCAAAACCATTCGTCATATTGTCCTGTCTTAAGTCTCAGTTACTTTTAATTCTATAACTCAAAGAAATGCCGAACAATGTTCGTCAAAAACATTTCTTCCTGCAATTAATCCGTTTATCGATTGAGACGGTACTAGTTTGTTTCATCTAAATAAAACTAATAAACTATTATTTGTCATAAATTTAAGTTATATATATTGTGTTTATTCGTAGATGTGTGTGCTAAAGTTGAATGTCCAGAAGGTGGGTTTCTTGGAAAACATTGTCAATGTTACTGTAAAGGAAATCCCGATGGCTCACCTGTTAGACTTTGTTTTCAAAGAGGTATTATATCATTTTGTTTGAAAAATAAGAAAATAAAAACAATATTATTGCTGAAGAATAATTGCTTGTGTCATGCTATGAAAAATTAGCTATTTTCTTGTTATATTTTATATTGTGTATATTAAATAAGTGAGTGAAATATTTGTATTGAATTTCATTTTAAATTTTATTTTGTATTTTCTGATTTCAAAATATGGTATATATGATAAAAAATAAATTATACCCTTTTTTCTTTGTTAAATCTTAAGTACATTTATGTGGTCAATTAGAATGTCTCAAACGTGACATGTTGTTACAGAGAAGCCAATGTGTTAAAAACCTTTTACACTAGACAAAGAATTGCAAAATGCATGTTATATTAACATCTGTGATAAACTTTATTCTTTTAAAAACATATACAATTAAATTTACTGATAGAGATTAGAAAATATAAAATAAAATTTAAAATGAAATTCAATACAAATATTTCACTCACTTATTTAATATACACAATATAAAATATAACAAGAAAATAGCTAATTTTTCATAGCATGACACTTGTCCTAGTATAATATATGTATGCTATTGTGTGTAGGTTCAAACGTAACATTAGTTCGACGTATACTTCGTCGACTGTCTGATAAATCAAAACTGTTTCAAGGGACGAGCTAAATCAAAAGAAACAAAAACAAAAGAACACAGAGCTATAAATGGTGAACACGTCACGTCAAAGATAAATTCAAATTTCACTTTAACAATTTACAACACCAATTTACATGAATTTCAGAGGAGTGTCCAAAACCATTTGTTAATAAATACTTATTTGATGTGATGAACAAAGACAACACAAGCTTAATCAATATGACCCGGGCATCGTTTCCTGACAAGACAATTTTAAATCTGTTCCCAACCAATTGGAACTGTACAATAGCTTCTCAGTTAAGATGTGAGGAAGGTAAATGGACACAGACAAATGCAGAATGTCCAGTTGCACTCGGTAAGAATATAATAACACTTGTTAATCATTGCATCCTGAACAGTTTACAGTAAAATAATATTTAAACAGTATACCTTTCAATATAATTCTGGCCGAAATTTGCTTGGAACGTCGATACACGATAAAAACAGCAATCAAAAAGTACTCGAGTATGACAAGATATTTATTTTAATGGTAAATTTGAGCTACATAAACTTAACTATATGAACAATTAAAGAAAAAAAACAATAATTAAGAAAGCTCTCTGACTTAAACATGGTACTACTTTGGCTATGGATGGCTCCCAATTTTTACTATGCCATAAGTGGTAGCCATTTTTGGAGTCAATAGTTTATAAAATATAACAATATTTAACAAAAAAAAACATGAAAACTGCTGATTTATCCGAATTGTCAGATTGTGCATGCATATTAAGCTAAAAATAGTCTAATAGTTCCAATATATATATAAAAGATAATTACCAGTTTTCACAAAGACTATCGAATCATGAGAGATATTTTATATTTTACATAATGTGTTTTGGTATGACCCTCAAAATGGCAGCAAGGATGGAGGCATAAAATAAAGTAAATGTTATTTGTTATGTTAAATTAAATGATCAATTAAAGATAAGACTGATGGTACACAAGGTCTTATACATGTATAAATATGTAAAAAATGTGATACTATAATGATATAATATCAAATAAATAAGTGTTTTTTTTTAATTTTAGACATTAAGATGATAGATGAAACAGAAGGTGTTGTTGAAGTTAAATTAAATGACGTACATCGAGGTTATATCTGTGATGACGATTGGGATGATAATGATGCAACTGTTGCTTGTAAAATGCTCGGATATACGTAAGTTTATACATATTTATTTTCAAAGAAAGCATGCTACATCTTCCACCAGGGAAACTTAATATCTGAAAATCACACTACAAAATCTGGAAAAAGTGCGATCCCTCGGAAGCATTAATTACAACAAAATTTCAAAAAAATAATTAGGAATTTTTTTTTATTTCGAAATGGAATAACAACGTTAAATTGCGATTGGTTTGCGATAAAATAGAAATTACTATTGATGATAACTTGTATATATTAAATGACAATGTGAATGTATGTAAAGTATATCAAATATGGATTTTCTTGAAAAGCAATATAAGAGGAATTCGGCTAATTCAACAAATATTGTTTGAAACAATATTTAATAAGACATTTATATAGTACACTTTTCCACCAGAAATGGTTGGGCTAACTTTCAAAAACCTCAAGAAGTTAACAAATCTTTACCAATACTTCTGGACAACGTTCAGTGTAGGGGCGAAGAACTATCTCTTGCTGATTGCAAACACAATGGCTGGGGTAGTCATGACTGTGAATATTCCGAAGTCGTTTCAGTTAAATGTTTCAACGATTCCTATACCAATTATATAGACAAAACACATTGTGGTAAGAAAGCGCATTAAATATAACACGATTAAAGTTGTTTCATTCTGTATTACGTTTTTATAGTTAAAATGTTTTTCATTTGTCTGTTTGCAGCAAACAGCGTGTCAATAGTTGCAAATCCGACGCTGCTTTCCCGCCATGTTTGTACTTGTTTCGAATGTCGAATGTTTCTTATCTAATAACTAATATTTACGGCCTTTATCCGGTTTTATATTGGCCTGCTATTCAAATTGTTATTTACCTAAGAAATATGTTATTTTTATTCACACAAATGTTATTATAACCTTATTTTTCTTTCTTTCATTTCTATGTACAAGGGCATATTGTAATTATAATTAAAACCGTCAATTTTTATTATTAATAAGTTAACCTAGACCGGCAATTATGATTTTTGTTAAGTTTACATGCACCAATTTCTCCATAATTTGCACACTTACTAATCATTACAAAGTCCGTGATCTGTGCAAATTCAAACAATGGCTTCCGTTTTTTCCAGTTCTTTTCACTTTTCAGCACCTTGAAAATAGATATGGTTGACCTAAACCGTTAGTTGGATATGTCTTAACTGTAATAATGGCAAATTATATCCCTGTGCCATCCATTTATCAAAAGTTATGCCTATCACGTTGAAGATGTGGCCTTCTTTGGGTAACATTTTCCGGCAAATTGGATATATAAAATTTTTGCTTAATTACTTTTAATAAAATTAATGATCACTTTTATTTTTGGTTGCTGGATATAAGAGGGTCACTTAGGTCACGGTCAAGATCACTAATGTAAGAAGTGAATTCATAAATTTGTGCTCATACAAACTTTAACTTTTAAATTGAAGTTTTCATTTGTGATACTGGCATGCATATATTCCTTCAGGATCAGTAACATTCTATACATTGCCGGAACGTTATTCATAGACCGATGTTTCTCATTTGTATATAAAGTGATACTGTGCTTGGTCTTCTTCCTTTGGATTTGATTTCAGTAAAATTTAGGCCATCAGTCCTAAATAGATTTTTTACACTTTTGCCTATACAATCATATTCATTGTTAGATATCTTTCATATTTGGTAGTAAGATTTGTTTCTGTGTTTTGTTGTGTTTTTTTTTCTAACATCCACGACTTAATCTTAACATTTCGCGCTTATAATTTTAAGGTAAAATTCAATTAAACGATTCAAAGAGAAAGAAACGGCAACTTAAAATTACTGGTGGCTTTGAGACAATGATGGGAATGCATCCGTGGCAAGTGGAAATTCAACGAAAGAAGCGAGGATGGATTCATTGGTGTGGTGGTACAATTATTAATAACGAGTGGATATTGAGTGCTGCACATTGTTTTGAGTAATTTTTGTTGTTGTTTTTTTATATTTTCTTTTCTTTCCGATTTATTAATGTTTTTTCTTCTTTGAGTGAAATTCATCAGCTGCAACTAAATTTAGCTTATCAAGTTTCAAATAAATCGAAGAGTGTTCAAATATGAATGCAACTAGACCAATATCTGGCTTTTAAACATTTTTTGCACAAACTATGTAGATGTATCGCTTTAATTGTTGTGTAAGCTCTAAATTGATACAATACATGTGTAAATCAGTTCAGTTATGACACGCTCAATTCGTGTATACTAAAACTAAAATGGTTATGAAAATGTCTCCTTTCACTGACCAAATGTGGTCCTATATCAAGAACCGCTGTATTCTTTGTAAACAGGCGAAGGTCATTTTAAATGAAATGTTTCGTGTTTATGGGAACAATGAACTTTATTTTGCATCTGTCACACGTGGTGTAAATAATTCAAAAGTGGTGTGGAATCAGTAAAAAATGCACCTCATTCCGCCATCCGAAAGCTGCAACTTTGCCCAAAAAGGTTGAAAATGTACAGGATTTGATTGCTTTAGATATAAGATTTACAACAAAATATAAAGCTAAATTCATTGGTATCTCTGAAGGCGCGCCGCTCAAACAATTCTTAGACATTATTTAAAATTGAGGTGGATAAGTGCCTGATTGTTACACTATCTCCTTACAAAAAAAACAAAAAAACTTGCTCGGGTAAAAATCTCCAAACAGTTGTTGAAACTGTTTCCTAAATACAATCGTTTTTTTTTTCGCAAATACCATCACTGGCGAAGAGATGTGGCTTCACTTTTATTAGCCCAAGCGAAATTTATGTAACAATATATGAGAAAAGTCAAAGACCTTACATGGCAAAACGCGCCATGAACGTCAAAAGGTCATGTTTGTAATAGTCTTTGCCAATGAAGGTCCTGCTATTCAAATTGCCGTACAAAAGAATAAATCTGTAAATGCCAAGTTTTTTAAAGGGCGGGTCTTTCATAAATTAAAAAAATATTTCAAAAACCCTCGACCAGCAACTGGTCTCCATGGTGTCAGGTTGTTGCATGACAATGCTTCGTCACACAAAGCGATCATTGTACAAAAATATCTTTAACAGGAAAAAGGTTGTCGAGTTTTCTCACCCTCCTCATTTCCCAGGCCCCTTGTGAATTTTTCTTTTTTTCCGAGGCTCAAAAGCACGTTGCTGGACGTAGATATCAAACGCAAATAAAATTTCGGTTGGCTTTTTCCAGTGTCCGAACAGTATACATCGAAAAGGTTATTAAAACGCATTTTAAAAATTGAATTAAAAGACTTAAACTTTGTATATCACATGGTGATGATTATTTTGAAGGATTTAGATAATTATTTTGGCACTGTTTTGGTGTATGCATTTAAATATAGTTTATATCGAACTTTCAATATCAATGATTCATTAAAGTGCTTTTTCACTGTTATATACAGTTATTTATTAGAAGAAAAAGTAGGTTGAATTGACGTAACTATCTAATTGCCGAAGATAGGTACCATTTTATCATGTATGTTCCGGTGAAATAAAATATATTATCTAACAATTTAAACCATATTATTTCTACAACAAAAGGCGTTTTTATGACATATTATTAGTACAATCCAGTAAACTGTGTTAGACTGTAATATTTCTTAATTTGCATTATGATCATTCATCAATTAAAGTTTAAAACATTGCATAAACTGTAATATATTCTAATCTTACACATAAATACTGTTTGAATAAGAATTCAATCTTACATTATCATCTATCGCCTATTTAGCAGTTTCAATATTCTAATTTTGTGAAATGCTTATACTGTGATACATAGTCAAACTCATTATCAAGTAAGTCTTGAACATCTGTCTACCATGATTTGTGAGTTCATAAATTTGTTAACACTTAGTAAAATACCATATGTTCATTATTTGCAAAGTGTTAAGCAGAGCCATGTGTCTTGTTTTAATAACATTAAGTTCTACATTATGTTTATTATGTCACAAACAGTACGCCAGGTTAAAGATATTAATGTTGACTGTAGCGTTTTGCTATTTACAAATTCGGACTACTGTAATTCTGATTTGAAGATATTAAAAAAGAAAATAAGTCTAATTTAAAGGTAATTCTGGCATCAGCTTGTTCTGCCTAAGGTGGAACATGTTTTGACAGCCTTTTCATACCGTTTACTTTTATTTGTGTGCATGCATTAATGTTAAAATTGCACACATCCCTCTCAGTGTTTTCTGCTTTGATTTTAAATATAGGCACACAAATAATGAATTACAGGCAACGTCTTATCATTAAATATCATTCATTGTCATTGTACTCAGTTACAGCAAACGGAATTAATTTGAATATTTACTTTATAAGGATCACCATGAAAAGAAACTGATATGTTTGCAATAAATGTTAAATCTTTTCTGATTTTATACAGCGACTTAATAGGAAACTACGATGGTTTGAATGCAAAACTAAATTTCAAGGACGTACGAGTTATTGTTGGAGACCATGATCTTACTATACATGATGAATATGAAGAAATGTTTCATATTGAATATATTGTCAAACACTGGAATTACAGTGGTAAGATGTTTTGTTTTCCATAGAAGCTTAGTAAGTAATATGCACATACATTTTACCACAAAAAAATACAATTTCTGTTATACGCGGATTAATAAATCAAGTGAGTTTTGTTGTCCAAATGTCACTCAAACAGACGTTTAGTTATTTCGAGGGGATCATTTCATGATTATTAGATCATATCCAATATTTCCCATCAGTACAATATCTTGATTTCAGCTTGATGTCTCTTATTGAAATTCAAATTATTTTTTAACAATGACAAAATAGGAAAAATTAAACTAGCGCCGGCAAAATTCGCACATTTGATTACAGAGACTCATTTTGAATACATTGATGAAATACTAGGTCACACCATTCTACTTTTTCAGCTATCTGCCCCTTGAAAGTGAATTTGTTTTATTATTTTAGGTCTCGTTAAAGTGTAGGTAACTCAAAAGCATGTAAACTGATACATTTGTTATTTGAAATTATTTTTTGTTTCTTGATTTTTATTCGATATGCATAATGTCAAACCATTCTATTTGTACAATGATTTGTTGTTGTTTTTTCAATATGTGAACATTTTCTTCTAAATAAGGCATTACTCGAAGAAAATTTTAAAAAAATTGCCAAAATATTAGAACATAGAATGAAATGTAAAACATAAATTTGCAATGTCAGAAAATAAACTGAACAACGTTAATTGAAAATCAAATGTGATTTTGCTTGGTAAGCCTTGAATACCCTAAAAGATGTCCACATTAAGCAAAACAGTACCCTCACTTTCAGGAAATAAAAAAGTAGGATGGTGACAAGCACGCGTGTCGTTATAACATGATTCTGTTGAATCATGTAAACTTTGAGAAAGTTTGTCATTTTCTAATATATTTCTCATTTTTAATTCTGAACACAATGTTAACATCCTATATTTCCTATATTTTATACTGATATATTATGTGCTGTAATGTCAAATGTTTAATTGCAGAATTCGAAAGAAATTACTCTAACAATGATATCGCGTTACTGAAAATAAAATCAACCAGTGGAATTTCCTTCAATGATTATATACAGCCAGCTTGTTTGCCTGAAGAATTCACTCAGCTTTTATCTGAACCTAAATGTGAAGTTTCGGGATGGGGCACGGAGGGAGAACTTGGTAACAAATATTTATATAAATAAATAAAATTTAAAAAACTAAAAATCTAAACAATGTTCGATCTGTGATTAAGACTCTGTTTTAAATTTGTTGAAAACTAGAGCAAGCAAATTTGACCATTAATTAAAATATTTTTTACACAGGTACAAAAACTGATACATTAAGGGCAGCAGAGGTAATGATCATCCCAGAGAAAGATTGTCATAGATACTACAACAAATATCCTATTAACTTTAAAAAGGTAATATGTGCTGGAGATGGAAGTGCTGATACTTGTCAGGGGGACTCAGGTGGTCCTCTCATTTGTGAAATCAACGGCCAGAGTACGATAATAGGAATAACATCTTGGGGTAAAGGTTGTAGTCAACATGAAGCTCCTGGTGTCTACACAAAGGTATCAGAATATGTCAGATGGATAAATTATCAAATTTCTAACCACCGTTTAGAAGAAGGTTTGTTCAATTTTATTTTTTTTTATGTCATTGCAACATATGCGATGCGGTAGCACATAGCTATTCTCCTGTATGCGTGTATTACGTGCCTACGTGCGTATGCATAAGTGCGTGCGTAGGGCGAGCGTGAGTGTTATACAACTTATAATTCGAAATATACTTAAAAACTTTTCTTGTTAAAAACTGCTCAATAAATCTCAACAAACCATACCAGGATAGTTTCTTGGAGAGTTTTACTATATGCACAATTTCAGGCCTGGAACTGAAATTGGATATCAAATAAATAAGGTATTGACCAAGTAACTTACTTTCTTTTTATTTGACATACAGCTAGAATATGAACCATAATCATGGTTACAGATAGAGAATTAAACTCTGATATAAAATGATATATGGTTTGACCAAGTAACCTACATTTTTATAGGTACAGATGCATTTGTAATATATGTACAGTTTGAGATAACGAGTAGATTGTTTTTAAAGTTGACCTATATTTGAGCCTAGTGACTTGTTTCTAAATTCAGTAAATTCTACAGTATTATCACAAAGTTTCATAGTTTAGAAACTAAAATTGTACTGCCTCTTTACTTAATATTTAATGTTGTAAAAGCAAGGACATAGCATTTTTTCATAAACGCAATTTTGATAGTCCCCTATCGGCTTACCGAAGGGGGATAAACCTCCGTCCGTCCGTCCGTCTGTCCAAGCAAACATTTTGGGTTTAGGGGCTATATAACAGTAAAGAGAACAAAAGAGAACATTAGGTTAATTCCATGATCAAAGGGTTTAGGGGCTAGTAGCCCTTAAGTAAACAAAGAAAATAACAAAGAAAATAGCCCCTTAACCCAAAATGTCCGTCCGTCTGTCCGTCCGCACTCACAGGACAGTTATTATGTGGCTAGAGGGACAATAGGTAACTGTTCTTTTTCTTTGATGTCATTCATTCCGTAATGCTTTTAGTGGCTATTTTCCTTTGTGTTGCTAAAAACAACAATAAAGAGAACAATAGAGAACCCACATTATTACTCTCCTGTTAGAACGTCCGTCAGTCCGTCCGTCCACAAAACTGGATCGCGCGATAACGCAAAAAAATACTGAAAATATTTTTATGGAACTTGATTTATGGCAGTATGGAGATTGTGCACGTCTTTTTCTTTTCTTCTTATGTTGAAAATTCTGGTAGCTATGGCAACAAATAGACTGAAATTATGGCAAATTTTACGCATAAACTGGATCCAGTGATAAGGCAAAAAGTACTGGAAATATTTTTATAGAACTTGAAATATGGGTAGATGGCAGTCTTGAAATTATGCACGTCTTTTTCTTTTCTTCCTATGTTGAAAACTCTGGCTGCTATTACAACAAATAGACTGAAAATATGGCAAATTTAACACATAAACTTGATCTAGTGATAATGCAGAAAGTACTGAAAATATTTTTATGAACCTTGAAATATTATATCGCAGTTATGTCTTTTTCATTTCTTCCTATTTTGAAAAACAAAAGTTGCCATGGCAACACATTGGCTTAAAACATGGCAAATATTACTAAATTTGTGATTAGTAAAAAAGCTGAAATTTTTAATGAAACTTAAAATATAAATAGATGGTAGTATGGAAATTTTACACATCATTTTAATCTTTGACTATAGGGAGTATATTGACAGTTGTCACACTTAACAACCTCCTCAATAATTCTGATTCTAGTTTTAAGGCTTTTTCACTTTAAGTTTTTTATTTCTTACGGCATTTATTTCAAACTTCAAACATAAGTTTCTGGTCATCAACCACATCATATGTAACAAGGTTTTAACACTAGCACAAAAAATATATGAGAATTGCCTCCCTTGAACTTACATAAAAATGTTGTTTATTAATAACTTCTTTATTTCTTAATGTATCTTCTTCATATGTATGTTTGCTATTATCACTCAAATCATTTGTGAGAAGATTTAATACTCTATCAAGACTATTTCTGAAATTATGTCCCCCTTGAACTTATATTTGTTCTAGAAATGTGTATATTTTATTCCAACTTCTTCATTACTCATAGGATTTACTTCAAACTCCCACATCATAATGATATGACAAGTTTTATAAATCTAGCATCCTTATTTCCAGGTGTATCTCCTCATTCAACTTTGATTTTTTTTCTATTCATTCTTTTAACATTCTTTTACTTCAAATTCAAAACATACATTCATTATAACCAGCTTCATCACAAATTGTTCTTTGTTACACTCACATCATGTATGACATCTTGGATCTTTATTTCAAGAGTTATCTTCTCTTTTAGAATTTTGCTTTTAAAGTTTTTATATTGTGGTAACAGGGATGTTTGAAAAATGAACTTTAGTGTCCTTCAAACTGTCTGTTCATAAAAACTAGATTTGATCACTTTTAAGATGTTTTCCAACAATTTTTCTTAATAAAGAGAAAAAATGAAACATTAGTGAATGGCCAATGGCCCTTCAGAATGTTGCTTGAATTCTAACCGGTAGGGGACCCATGGATTGCTTGCAATACTATGATAATTCCTTGTTTCTCTAGTAATGAGTTTTTTAACATTGTATGAAGTCATTAATTTTAACAAATGTTTTATTAAAAGGTTTAATAAAACATACATGTTTATTTCAATATAGTAACGATGATGTGTTCTCAGCTTCAACCTTTCCGGGATTCAATTTTTCGATATTATTACAATGTTGAGACAAAACGTTGTGAGGAAATCAAATACAGCGGTTGTGATGGAAACAAGAATTTCTATGAAACCGAGGTGTCTTGTCGCCGGCAGTGCCGGGCCGAGTTACCAAAAGCCACCAACATCAGGAATGAAGCCAGAGCTAGACGTATGTTATCGATTCTATTATTTTCTAAAACAAAACAGCTAAGCCAAAATTCTTCAGTAAAAAATATTTTTTCATAATTTCTTGAGTATCAATATGAAAAAAACCTTATTCCATGAAAGTAAACATACCCTGTATAGACTGTTTTTGATATCAATTAAGACTAAATTGTCGGGTCCTTTTATGTAATATTATTTTTGCTCTAACTTTTCTTAAGACAAGGAACACTTTTGTTACAGTTATTTAGCTTACTTTTTATATGTATGTATGTGCATTCTTTGGTTTACTTTTATTAACCTATAGACGTTGTCAGATTTCCGCTTGGAGTGGATTCTTTTCATAAATACTGTCTCGTTTATTTTATAAACACGGTCTTGTTTACAAAAGGACATGTTGAGGCGGAGAGTGAATATAAGTATACCATTAACTAGTTAAACAAAGTTGTTTTTATACTCCCAAATTAAGTTGATTCCCTTCTATGTTCTACAGATGTTTATCTTGTTAATTGCTTCGTCCTAATTCAGCTGAAACGTTTTTATGTCCCTTCTTGTTTTGTCGTTTACGGTAAGTAGTATCCCTTCCCCCATATTTGTCCACCCCCTTCCCCGACGTTCTGGTCCCTTCACCTCCATTTTATCCTTTTTGTTAGCCTTTTAATAAGTTGTTGTGTTTTTTTTCTTTCAATATTCTTTTAGGTTTCTTTTTAATTTGAAATATATATAATTACATAACATTCGTGCTTTGCCTCTATTCCCTCTCCTTGTTTTGATTTGTGCCCTACAAGGCTCCTTATCAGTAGTCCTGTATAGCTGGGTTGTGTTTTAAGTAATAGTTATGACTAATTATGTTGTTTGGATATTTAAAGTTTCCAAGCGCCGATGTACATTAAAGGAGTGCGGTTAACAAGTATGCAATGTCAACTAGCACCTCCATTGTCCGAGCACGTGTAATAAATCATGATATAATATACATATCCGTATATAACATCATCATTTATTATAATTGAATATTATTTTCCTTTGTTTATGGTTCAGTTTGAATGATTTTTTATTAATTAATTGAACAAGATTTATTAAAATATTTATTTTAACTTTTACAAGCCGATATCGGTATGGTAACATATATTTCGGTTCGTGACAAATCATAGAAGTGATCTTGATATTTAGATATTTGTTTCTAATTTCATAATTACAAATTATATTATTTCGAACTGATTTTTTGCATAAAGTCAAGCTAAAACTATTTTGATAGATTATAATGAAAAAATATAATAAAACGCTTAATTGTAATTTTAAAAGCCGATTAATGATGTTATATTTTCGATCCTTGAAGATCGTTCAGCACGACATTATTGTTGTGCTTGTGTTATTTTTAGTTTCAACTTTTCGGCATTTCCTAGTTGGGTAGTTCAAATATTCCTCCTTGAATAATGTTGAATCACCCTTAGGATATGTTGCCTGCTTTTTAAATTTGTCTTTTGACGTCTTATCTGAGATACGCAGGCTTCATAACCTCTGATCCCTTTCCTTTGGGGACGATACGCCGCTTTTCATGGAATGGCACGGAATTGTCACATTGTAAGTAACATGATAACCGCCATATGAACACATCTGCGGATGTTTCAAAATTAAAAATTTTACTATTTCATGTTTAAATGTTGAATTCTGCTTAAGCCGGTGCTAGGGGGCGTAGACGTGAACTTGCACTTTCCAGTACCGTCCATGAACAGGCTCAGTCAAACCGAGCCTGCAAAGTTTTCAATTTTGTCGTGTTGGGCTTTCTTTGGGGATTCTGTATTTATCTACTTTTCGGTATGGTTTAAACATATATTTCGGTTCGTGACAAATCAGGAAAGTAATCTTGATATTTAGTTATTTGTTTCAAATTTCATAATTATTAATTATTTCGAACCAATTTTTTGCATGATAGTCAAACTTAACCTATTGTAATAGAATATAGTGGGCATAAATATAATAAAACGCTTAATTGTGGATTACTTAGTATATTTCGGTAATGAAAAGTTGATTTTGGTAACTTTACCGAAATCAAGTTGATTTCGGTAACGTACCGGTATTTTAAGTAATAAAACAGTTGTGCTGCATATTAACTAAAATTCACAAATATTTTGGAAGAACCAGTATGTAGGCTTGCAGCTTCAGTTTTGCTATATGTTTCTTGTATAACACACTTACTGTTGCGGATTGAATACCGTTTAAGCCGTTGATAAGGAGGTGATGGATTGTTGCAATTTTTCAAAATCCCTTATAATCAGACTCAACCGATTCTGCAATTCACTTTTGATGTTTGTTTTCGGTGCTTTTGGAAAATCTGCCCTTTCCAGATTTTCTGCTACACAACAGAAGGTGACAATCACCGAGTGACAGTTGTAAAACTGTGTCCCTTACAACGATTCAGTAGTGTCACTCATGAACAGACTAAATGCAAATTTCAAGTTATTTTGTTTTGATGTTTTTAAAGAAACCCAAGTTTTTTTAACCAGCAGTAGGACCTTTCAGACGTAGGATAACCAAATAAAACACTTTCCTTTTTACGTAACTGTAATAACCTTATAGCAGTACATATATGTGGTAAAAATTCTGGATCATTGATGTTATATTTAGGTATTGTATGCCTGATGCAGTATATCCTTTCTAAAGAGTATTCATTTTCAGTTAAGAGTATCCATTATCATTTTGTCAGATTATTATTTTCTTTCTAAACTTTAAACTAAAATTTATAATTAACATTATTGAAGTTGTTTTTATATTTTCACTGTGAAATGTGTGAAATTGGATAGCGTGACAAAATACAATGGTAATCATTTAATATCAGCATTTTAAAGTTTCTTTATATTTTGTTAAGAATTTTTCTAGATAATTTTTAATAAAGATAATTTGATGACTGGATTACATTTAACAAAATTTGACGGGTTTTCTTATCCCCTCCCACTTCTTATTTGATGTAAAATGAAAGAAACCTGTCTCAGTAAACCAAAAACAATCTTTTCCTTTACATTTAATTGATTTATTTTAAGTTGTTCAAAAACTATAGTTCTTTTAAATCACTTTTCAAGTAGGGAAAATATGAAGTTAGTGAAACTTTTCTACAGATAATGTTGCTGTTGTTGTTGTTGTTATTGTTGTTGTCGTCCTATAAAACTGATACAAAAGTTGAATTATGGTTCAACCTTTTTGTCAAAATATTCATTTGGATACAGTTATTGTTACAATTTCTCTCCGAGATTAAGGTTACTTAAGGTCCATAACAACCACGTAACATTATAAATGATAAATTAACATCTTTAATTCAAAAACATTTGCAAGAGAAAATGTTACGTTTATTGCTTGTAATTCACAGAATGCTTTCTTTACCAATTGTATCATTAAACAATATACAACGTGGACCTGCGACGAAATTTGTAGAGCACTTTCGTTTTAATTAAACAACAACTAAGTCACGTTTAGTATTGTCAAACAGGTTAAAGGCATTACAATTGGAACAAAATGTGCACCCCTGCTAGCCGATTTATTCCTTTACTGCTATGAGAAGGATTTAATGTTAAGTCTTTCTTCTACATCACATCAGGAAATTATATATGCATTTAATAATACATCCCACTACCTACATGATATCCTTAACATGAATGATCCTTATTTTCGATCAAATTGTTACTAAATCATATCCCAATGAACTACAATTAAATAAGACTAACTCTTCAGACGTTATAGCATCTTTTTTAGATATAAATATTTCAGTCATTTACAATACTATAGTTACTAAAATCTACGATAAAATATATGATTTTATTATTGATACCTATCCATATATAGATGAAGCTCAATCATATGGGGTATATACTTCTCAATTAATTAGATTTGCTAGGGTGTGCAGTCGTGTTGATGATTTTTATTAACGCAATTTATTTATTTCTAACAAGCTTCTTGTTTGTTTGTTTGTTTGTTTGTCTATTTCATTTTACGCCTTTCTCACCAGTATTTCAGTCAAATAGGCGGGTGGTTTCCTAACCATCGTTTCTGGAGAGTTACACCAGAACTAGACTACGTTCATCCGCGCTAAACTACCAAAGCATCTCCCGGGGATCGAACCCACGCCAGAGAGGTAACTGGATTAGAAGTCATCGACTCTAACCACTCGACAACGCAAGCGGTAAACAAGGCTATCGCTATCATAAACTTCGTGAATATTTTAATAAGTATAACCATCGTTATTCAGATTTAGTTTTGAAATTTAAATGTAACTTAAGGTATAACCACCCTAATGGGCACAATAAGGAACCAAAAGATTGACATCATAGGTCAGATATATACCTTAAAGTACACCTGTATGCTAAATTTAAAAAAAACGTTTACCGTACTGAAATCAAGTTATGGCCGCTTTTCTGAACTCGAGCTAGGATGTTATGAAGGGCCCTTTTTTAGAAATGAGGAACCTTTAAATAATCTGCAATAACATTCTTATGAAAAAAATGTTTTCCCAATAATTTTTGGTAAGAAACAAATAGTACCATTCAGCTAACAATCCACATAAGCAAAATTATGGTTTCTACTTACAATTTATGAAATCTGTATAAAAATGTTATCCTATCCCACCCATTTTTACCACGTGTCGGACCATTTGTCTACTCAGGGAGCTTAATTTAAAAAATCCTTAAAATTTACCCAAATGAGTGCCTGTTTTCAAAGTTTCCCTAAATTTTTAAAAAGTATATCTGTTGATCTTGTAAAAATATGACATACTTTGACATCGCATCTGCGATGACATAAAGTGAGTGTGTGTGTGTGCGTGCGTCTGTGCGCGCGCGTGCGTGCGTGTGTGTGTGTTATATAGTTTATAATTATAGTGAACTTAAAAACTTTTCTTGTGTAAAACCACTTGTCTAGTTTCAACTAAACTTGGCAGGACTGTTGCTAGGGTGAAGGGCCTCCAAAGTGGTTCAAAAAATTTGATTCCATGCAGAAAACTGGTTGCCATTTCAACCAAAA